GGACAACTCAAGTGCAAGTATTCCGAAAGTCAAGGCTTACTCACAGCGGTGCATGGATAACCCTATACGAAAGATGTTTATGCAAAATGACTGGATTTTTTTCTAGGATGCAATGTTAACGTGTCTTCCAAAGCTAAGGACTGTCAATCTGTCTCGAAATGAACTTACTGGTTTCCCACAAGGAGGCCCCCAACAGTTTGCTGCAGCTGTGGTATGTGCCAAGTAAAATGTTTTCGTTTATACAACTTTATGTTTTCCAAACACTTCACTATCGCACCTTTGACATCAATCTCAAGAGACTTTTTAGAGGGCAGTAAGATAAAATTCAAAAAAAAACATTATCCGTGACAAACATTATAAATTTAATCGAGCCAAATTTCTGGTCGAGGTTTCCCCTTAAAAATGGTGTGCGGTGCATGAAAAAAAGGTGAAAAAAATCAGTTCCACTTACATTTGATAATTAGAATCAAGTTTTAATGGAAATAAGATATCACTATTTTCATAGGGGACTAACCAAAAATCCGACAAAAGCGGAGAGAAAAAAATCATCTTTTCTTATGACATATCACGATATGACTCCACTTTTCTATTCCACACCAGTGTCTCTTTCCATTTTATGTTTATGTCTCTAGTTATGCATACTTTAGACTATCAACATGGAGCACAATCGAATAAACAAGATCCCTATTGGTATCTTTTCACGTGCCACCAGTCTTACGAAATTGAACTTGAAGGAAAACGAATTGTTGTCATTACCCTTAGGTATTCCTCACTTTAGCTTCTCAGTCAACCTTTTCAACAAATACAATTCTCGTTAATTTCTTACTTTCAGATATGGGAAGCTGGACGTCTATAACGGAGCTAAATCTCTCAACAAACCAATTGAAAGTACTACCTGAAGACATTGAAAAACTCGTATGTATATCATATTTTAAAACTCCTGAAGTACATTTTTCTTATATCATCGAACAATATATTTAGGTAAATCTCGAGATCCTTGTTCTGTCAAATAACCAACTCAAGAAAATGCCAGCGCAAATAGGCAATCTGAAAAAGTTGCGAGAACTTGATTTGGAGGAGAACGACCTCGAAACAATCCCAAGCGAAATCGGTATGTTACAATGTTACAGGAGTTTGGCTCAAAGTTTTTGAGTTTACATCTCAATTCGAACCTTTCAAGGATTTCTTTTGCAACTGACCAAACTTTGGGTACAATCAAACAAACTTGTAAGCTTACCCAGGACTATTGGGAATCTCGCAAGCCTTCAAGATTTGCGAGTAGGCGAAAACTCGTTATCTTCTCTACCAGAGGAAATTGGTGAGTCACAATCGATACTGCAACTCCTACAAGATAGCTCCCTCTTTTCAGGTCATCTGGACAAT